AATTTTCCCACAATCATATGAGTAAGCCCCATGTTTTCACCACATCTCCTCCAAACGGACATTAATTCATCTGCTCCAAACCGTGTAACAGCCTGGTGCCTGGTCTGAAAATTCTCTGAAAGAAGGCATGCCTAAAGAAAGTGGTAGTCACTTGTTCCGATGTTTCACTTCCTACGTTTTCGCAATCTGACAAGATGGCAAGATCAGAAACTGAGTAAAGTGGCTTATCTACTTATTCGACCATAAATAGAAATTTCTCCTCATTCTAGTTATTACCATTAAAAGTAGTTATCTACTGATCCTTGTGAATTATTTTTTTAAAATAGTATTCCCTCAAGTTAACGATTTCCTATGTTTTTTTTACGCAGACTTTATTATCATCGATTCTATGAATCCTAAATTATTATCCCTTTACGTATAAATAGATTAAACGTTAATACGAAATCTGCGTGCGTGGGTTTCTCACACACATCCCCACTCAACTTACTACATTCTTTGCTAATCAGGACATCCAGAAACGGTAGCTTAACCTCCGTTTTTAATTCTTCACTAGTATTAGTAACCCCTTATAATGGAGTCATCAGATGATACTTCGAATATATAGTAGGCATAACTGGGTTTCAAATAATCTCATTAGATACATTTATTTATTGTGGAGACTTTCGTTTGTATGAAAGTGCGTGATAAAGTGATTCATAAATTTATCTCAATAGAAATTGACGGCTGATTCCACTGGGTTCTACAACCTTCAAGTTGACGTAGTCCATGAAACATCCGGACTCATTTCGAGTTAAAACGAGAAAACATATGCAGACATACACATACAGACAATCATATACAATTTCGCTTATTAATATAAAATAGGATTAGCTAAATCTTTCTACATCCACCTTCGTTTTTAGTTATGGGTATATATTGCATGAAGGATAGATCCGGATAGTCTTTTTTACGTATTGGTAACTTAAGGTCCTAACCTACTCACGTTTCATACCTCATAGGACGATCTTAATAAGCCATACTATGTTTTGGTTGGTTACTTTATGTTCACCCTACATGCTTACAGATGGGCAAAGTTTATGCATACAAAAGGAGTGGAGTTAAATGACGGACATTATCAGAGCAGGTTATCATCCTTACAACCATATTCAGGATAGCTATTCAAGAAAACTCAACAGCTTATCTCTAAATTTATGAATACATGAAGACCAAGATGTTGTGGTCTTTGTTATGGTTGCAGTCTCCCTTCGATTTATAGAAGTGGGCTGACCTCGTTGTCGTAAGTTGGTCTTGTTGTCAGGGCGACTTAGTAGAATGCACCTCGTCCGAAGTCGTCTGCCAGAGTAGTTGTCATGACTCCTAGCATCAGACAGTGGACTTGGTACATTCTCAAACTTTTCGCCGGCATCGTAGTCGGCATCATCAGTGAGCTTTGTCATTCTCTGTACCAAAATAACAACTCGTCAAAGAGACAAGCCAAGTCAATCCCTCGACAACTGTTCTGCCGGAAACGGTTACACTATCCCTCCTCTTTCTGTCATTGTCTATCTATCTACCCTTTAGATAGGAATTGACTTGACTTGTATCTTTGACGAGTTCGTAGCTTGGTGCAGAGAATGGAATAGCTCACTGATGATGTCGACTACGATGCCGGCGAAACGTTTGAGAATGTATCAAGTCCACCGTCAGATGCTGGGAATCATGACAACTAATAGGGCAGACGACTTCTGACTAGGTGCGTTCTACATAGTCTCCCTGACGACAAGACCAAGTTGCGACAACGAGGTCAACCCACTTCTAAATCTATGCTTCTCAGTGGGGTATACATTGATTTGGTTGGTTATGCATCGAAACCCAACTATTCTCCGTACAAACAACCACTGTCAGTACTTAAAGCAGACATGTGAGTAGTAAATTAATCCAGAATTACTGACAATTCTTGACAGCCTTACATCAAAGATAGCTTTATGTAATGCCACTAAACCAATTCATTCGGCTTCTATGGGCTTATCTTCATAGGTACCTCGTTATTATATCCTAAAGTCAATCAACTTTTGTAGGTTTGACGCCAAATTAAGCAAATCATAAAACTGGATTTTGTGTGAGATTAAAATAAATAGGTAATTTTGCTTACTTTCCAACTGTTCTATCACCCTTTGATATTGTTGCTCTATCGGCACCTCGTTGAAGCTGATCTGAACCAACTCGATTGGCAGCCCATTCATCGGGTATGTCATCGTCTGCAATTGGTTCAGACACGCTGCCCAGGCCTCTTCATATTGGCGCATCCTAGCAACAGCCAAATCGAGGGCTTCGCATGGAGCTGGCAGATAGGATTTCTGAACGACGCCCATAGTCGCCGTGGCAGACTCGATATCGGCACCGGCGTTGGTGGCAGCAACCTCGATTTTCGTCTCACTCTGTCTTGTATCCGTGTTCGTTTTGCCCAGTGAACCTGTTGAATCCGGCTTGTCACTAAGCGACGGAGGCAGATCTGTCGAGTTGAGACAATCAACGCATAAGTGTGCATATTTGGCTTTTAATAATTCTTATTTTTCATTTATAAGTAGACATTCGAGACTACCACTAGATCGCATATATGAGATTTATTCATCATATTTCATTTATGTTGATTAAAGGACATTTGTGAATACCATTTCGGAACTTAATGAAATGTATCGTCTATATACATAATTGTGGAAAAATTCAACTACCAGTCCACTTATCGCCAATTACGAAATAGGGTGGATTATTCACACTTAAATCAATGTCACAAAAAAAATTTACTATGAGGCAGACTATCCACGGCTTTTTAGATGTGCTTATGAGTAAAAATCGGAATATAAAGTCGAATTCTTGCCAAATATTGTTATTTTATACGAAATTGTTATGATTTTAAAGTATTGATTGTATTGACAAGATTATGTGAATTTCGATAGATCTTAAACAAGAACGTACACATGAAGACCAAGCTGTTGTGGCCTCTATTTTGGTCACAGTTTCCCTAAAATGTATGGAAGTAGTCTGGCTTCGTTTCCGCAACTTAGTCGTGTTGATAGGAAAATCTAGTTGAAAGCACGTTGTCCGAAGTTCTCTGCCGTCTGGAAATGTACCAAGTAGACTATTCAACTCTGGGAATTGTCATAAAAACAACTACAAAGAAATTTGGGCGAGGTGCATCCAACTAGCTCGCCTTGACAACATGACCAGGATGTTAAAGCCAGGTCAGATCACTTCTTGGATAAGAACTTTCGCCATCTTGGGTTGCATAAGATTATATAAACCTGCCAGTTGAATTCGCTTAGACTCAGATGAATAGATTTTATGATATCCTTGAATTTAATAGTACCTTGCCTCCGAAAGGATTTCTCATGCGGACTAAATTGAAGTCCACAGAGTTTATGTGTATTTTACTGAATTTTTTAATGAACTTAGTCACCATAGGCCGATTAAGATGAGTTATGAATTGGCAGATGAGTTTGGTCACAATTCGAAGAATCGGTCTTACGATGCCATTGAATTCACCTCACCTTATCTTCCAGTGGGTCTTCTCATCCAGAGTGGACTACTTTTTCGATCTTCTATCTCTGATACTACATACTATGTTATCTTAGAGTAGTTTGGCATGCCTTGAAAGTCACATTTTCCCTGTGATCCACTGGCATCAGTGGCTGTGTGTCATCATTTGACACACAAGATTCAGTTTACAATTCAGTCGCAAATTCTGCTGAAACCCAGATGTGGTCTAAACTACAATCAATTCTCAACAACAATGATGAGTGAAATTCAAAAAAAATCATGAAACAACTCGTTGTATTGTGAACAAATTGGACAATCAGTCCGATATAATGTTGTGCTATATGCAGATTGATTAGATTTCGAAACCATTATTAGATCTTGAATATGAGCTGTATCCACAAGGTGATGAAGAATTGAGAATTGAATTATTTCACAATCATACAAGCATTTGACCTAGCGTGAATACAGTTATCATTTAATATATATTGGAGGTATCGAAACCAACTTTATCTGAAAATAATCAATACAATCTGTTGTAATAGCAACTATAAGATTGCGTCATCAACACTCCAACAACAAAAGTGAGGCAGTAGAAATTCAGTTCTATTCCGTAGATTAGTGGCAGCCCTGTTAGTGGAGTCTGGTGGCAGCGCGTCGAAAGTATACGCTGCAATGGTCTGATTCGATTCCAGTTGTGGATGCTAATTAAAACTACTGTCAAGTCGGGATGAAAATGTCTTTAGGGAAGTAAGGTTGTGAAATTCAATGAAAGCGGGAGGCCTATTCATCTGACTGTGGGAAAATTAAACTATCAGTTCTTCATCAGCTTATGCGACCTAGGATTAATGCAGATCTTATTCATAAACGTATGCCATCTAGAATGACTAAAATTCGTATTTATGAAAAGTAGACTCACTGTAGAGATGATATGGTTGATAGGTGCAATCCAACTTCTGTCACTTTTAGACAAAGGATAAGCACAAAAGAGGGAGATAAGGAAACTTTAAGAAAATGTCTTCTTATATGCTGAGAAAAGTTGAGTTTTAAGAAATCTCCTGATATTCAATTGTTGAGCTCATTTTCATTTCGAGTGCAGTTATTTGGTGAAGAGAAGAGGAATGCATTCCTCTTGACTAGCTGACGATTGGCTTTACTGAAATATTATTTTCGAAGTCGCCTCCAAAACAATCTCCTTCGATTCCGGTGAAAACATGCTAAGCTGTTGTCCGTCTTATGACGGACATCCTCAAAAAAAGGCAGCATCCTTACGACAAAATACTAGCTAAAAAGTTAAAATCTTACCGGCATATCAGTAAAATAACCCTAACTCTATAGCTCAGTTCTTCAATAAGATATAAAGTGTTCTAATTACTTTGAGCCATTACTGCTAGTTTCGTACATATACGAACACATGAAAGCACATAAACACACGCAGACAGATGCACTTACATGCATCGAAGTTGACATTTAATTTTTATATTTGATTAGAGTTTCGAGATTAACAGTAAATCAGTAATATGAGATTATTTCACCTTATTTCGTTTAAGGTGATAATGGACTGGTAGTAGAATTTTCCCAATTTGGGGAAAGAAAGGCAATGTGAAATCGAATGGAAACGTCAGCTCTACTCATATCATTTCGGGAAAATTCTACTACCAGTCCTTCATCACCTTAAACGAAATAGGGTGAATTCATCTCATATAATTTTTACTAATCACAACACTTTATAACTCTTCAAATAGCCCAGATATAGGCTATGTATGCAGAATTTGGGGAGAAGTCGATGAATTTTGCTCAGTTGCAAGCTTATTGCTGTAAAAATGATATTAGGCTCTAATGATGTACATAATACGACGGACAAAATATGAGCATGTTTTCACAGAAATCGAAAAATATTGCCTCGGAAACAGCGTCAACCAGAGTGGTTTAGTAAGGCCAATCGACAGCTGATTGAGAGGAATACGCCATCGTCTTCTGGTGGGATCGGTTTGCAAATCTCTTTACCCAACACTTTCACTTAAAGTGGAAGTGAGCTCGACAAAATGCTTCATATTGTGCTAATAAAGGTTTCAACTGCTCCATTCTGAATATACACATGCACTCGCATCTCTGTCTAGTCAATTCCATTCTCACACTTTACTTTGTACAATCTACCGCCTGGGAAGTTTGGACCTTTTGTTATGGATTCAACTTTGCATAAAGCGGCGCAATAATTGGAGAATGTGCCAGAAGTTCATTCTGCTTGCCGACCATCGTTTAAAAACACACATACACACATGAACAGATACTCCCAAATCGGAGGTCAGAGAGTGCCGATATTCATTCCAGTTCCGTCTCCCATATTCGTTAACTGGCCATCTCTACTTTTCCATCAATCAAATGATGAATTTCCATCTCTAATATTCCTTCTCTGGTCGAGTCTTTCGCAGTTGCCGACGGA